GGTCCAGGTTGAACAGTCCAATAGGACAGTGGATTGGATTGGACCAGTCCAATCCGGTCCAATAAGTCACTCCATATTTCGAGTTTTGAAAAGGCTGTTCCAAAGAAAAACTAATTCCAGCTATATATTTATAAAAGTAATATATAGCATTCAGGGAATCAGTCAAATAGGTAAATAGGTACAGAAAACAGAGAAATAAGTTAATCTCATAGATGGCTATTAAAGAAAAACCAAGGGAAAAACTGAAGTAGAGCATAATATCCACTGTGACTAGATATTGTCATGCTATTTGGTTGGCCAATATTGTTAATATTGGATGATAATAGCAATACTCACACCCATTTTTGAAGGGAGATGACATTATGACATTTTGGTTGATAATTTCTTAGGTGATTGTAACATTCATGGAGTCCATCATGAAAACAAAAAAGAATAAAGAATAACATTCTAAGCAAATTGTTAACTAATTGGAATGTGCTCAATGTCATGTAACTGACCTGCATCTGTAACCACAGCATCAAATTTTTCAATCCACACGTGAGGTGTTTGTTCAAATCACTAGAACACTCTGTCTCCTCCAATCTTTCTGTTTTCTTTTTTGTAATGCCTTTTATGTTCTTTCTTGTTGTTAATAATTTGTGAATCAGTTACTAACAGGCCTTTGTTTTGATATCCATTTATGTCTTCACTTGCATTTGGTTCCTTTGGTTCACTCTGACCACCAGCTGGATTTCCTGAGCATGATATATCTTTTTCCCCATCAATGCCTTCATGGGCATTTCTTTTCACTGTGTCTGCAACTTGTGAAATGCCATCATTCTGCCTGTACTTAACATCAATATCAATATCATCCTCATCGCAGCACTCGTTATCTTCATCATCACTGTCATCAGTATCTTCATAATCTGCACCACAGTCACCATCTTTATATTTTTCAAAGTTCAGAAGCTGGGTTTCATCCATGCTCATCCAGTTTACTAGGCAGTCCTGTTGATTGATTTCTTCAACGGCCCGGCATGGAATGTCATGCTTTATCTGTTCAGACAAGATTGAACTTCCTGCAACTTCTGCATCTTCAACTTCATCATTTTCTATCTTGTCTCTTGAACTTCTTAAAGCTTCTCTCTGCTCCATTATGACAATCATCCTGGGAGGGAAAGAATACCAGAATAACTTTCATAAGTCAACTTGAGGAAAAATTGAAACAAAGAATATGTAAGAACTGTGTTAACTCAACTCTAATGGAGATATGTGATTCTGTTTCGATTAGTGTGGACTATGGAGATATATAATAGAAACTAATCATGTAGCACATTAATATTGATGAGATCTCTAAACCTTATGAAGTTCCAATTTTGAACAAAGAAAGCCATGTAAGGAGGACATTTTTCCATAGTCTATACAGATTAACATGACACATGAGCTTATAGAATCCAAAGGTCTAAAACTATAGTAACTGATGTTGGTAAATGGTAACATTGGCGAACAATGACTTCCAAATGTTTTACAACATAAATAGACCAATGACTTCCAAATGGACACATGATGAAGAATTAACTTTTAGGCATCTATATATTTTTTACACGAATAAAGAGATTTCTTGAATCTTTTGATGCAAAACGTTGTAAAAACATATTTTTGTCATTTAAAAACACATTTTTCCAATAACAGTCTATAATATCTTTTGGAATTTTCGAGGAATGCATTCGCTCTTTGGAAGTTTCCTATATTGCATCTAAATTGTCAGTTTGTCACATACAGGAAAGTAGCTTTATAATCCCTCCGAGTCTTGCATTCTGAGACCAAATTGAACCTAGGCCCGGTCAGATATAGATATTCTGCTCATATCAGAATTTTGATAGTTTTCTCCAACATTTTCTTTTCTTTTCTATTCACATATCTAACATGTTGGATACAATATTCTGTGATTAGGATGAAGAAATTTTGTACCCTGGCTTCCCAAGTTCATAATATTTGAAAGGAACGTTGGTCTAAAATTGACATTTGATTCCCATTATCTTTGCATGGATCTTCATTGACTCCAAAACAAAACCCAAAATTCAGAGAACAATGATGCAGCAAATTTTAAAACATAATATAGTGCTATGCATGGTTTCTGAATTTCTTTTAGACAGCTGCTCTCCCAAGTTAATAATTTACTTCATCTGTCTTTTAAAACCACAATTTGGTTTTGCTTTTGTTCTAAATACAGGAAGAAGTTAAAAATTTACTTATCAAAAATAAATAAATAAACAGAGAGCCTACAGAAAATGCCCACACGGATAATGAATCCATCCAATAGAAGAAAAAGGAGATTCACATTGTTCTTCTGGTTTGCCTGAGATGAATAGCTAAGCCTCATAGGCGGCAGTTAGATTAATTTATGGACTGGAGCATTAAAATTTCTAGGAACATGTAAGAAGTCTACAGGCCCAATATCTACACAACATTTCTTAATTTCATCTAGCTAGATTGCCATGAAATACTTTAACCAGCAAATTTTAGAGCCAAAATAACAGCTTGCGTATCATAGAACAGTGATTATTTTTTTCCAATTCTTAGCTGTTTGCAGTGCTTCTGAAATTGCTAAGCTCTGATGTTTACTTGCAGAGGTTGTAATATCTGCTGCTTCACATGCTGTTACTGGGTTTCAGATTAGTGATCCCCAAAGGGTGATAATATTGGTCTCCACCAGTGGCAGGGAGGTGTAAACTAAAATTTGATGGGTGCTATTTGGGTAATCCAGGGATGTCTAGAGGGGGGGGGGAGATGTTAGGGACCATTGGAGCAATGCAATCCTAAGTTTTTTGGGTCCCACTGGTTTTGGGAATTCCTAAAAGGCAGAATTGATGGCCCTAATTCATGGCCTAAAACTAACAATGATGCAGGGTTTGAGAATTGTGGAAGTGGAGGATGAATGCTAAACAGGTTATAGGTTGGATGAGATTTCAGAATCAGATTTGTGGTAGTTCAGGCCTATGGTGAGTTTGGCTTGCTAGGTTCAAATTTGAACAACTAATTCAACTGGGAATCCTAGAAGTGTTAACATGTTGGCAGATTCTTTAGCAAGAGCTGGGATTGGAAGAGACTCTCTTGAATGGGGTTAGATGTGAGTCTGTCCTTCAAATCTGATATAAAATTGATAAAAGAAATAAGAAAAAATGAGAGAGAGAGAGAAAGGTTACAGCAGAATAGAAGAAGAAGAAGGAGAAGAAGAAGGAGAAGAAGAGAAAGATTAAGAGAGTTCGATGGTTCTCTCTCTCTCTCTCCTTCCCTTCACTAATCTTTTATTAAACTTAATTAATCATGCTAATTACAAGTTTGCCCTTTAAGTGGGCGGCCAGCAAAGCAGTAACTTAAAAGAACTTAAAAAGAGGTTAATAGGCCCATGAACACATAAAACAGATATAACATTACTTAAACATAAATTATTGATAAAAAAAACATTACTTAAACATAAAAGAAATATTAGGGCCCATTTGGTCTAATCTCTCTGCACTCCCCCTCAAGCTAAGCATATATAGTGTGTCAGCTTTCCTTTTGGAATACCTTTGGTGAAAACATCAACCAACTACTCTTTTGAAGCAATAAATGGCAAGCAGACTTCCCCTAAAGCAACTTTCTCCCTTATGAAATGTCTATCAACCTCTATGTGCTTAGTTTTATCATGCTAAACAGGATTATGTGCAATGTTAATAGATGCCTGGTTGTCATAGTAGAGCATCATTGGTTTTTCATGGTCAATACCCAACTCTCCCAAAAGTGATCTTAACCACAATAATTCTGACACTCCATGTGTCGTTGCCCTGTACTTTGCTTTAGCTGAGGATCTGGCAACTACAAACTGTTTCTTACTTCTTCATGAGACAATGTTCCTTGGCATCAAGGCACAACATCTTGAGGTAGATCTCCTATAATCAATACATCTGGCTCAGTCAACATCAGTGTATGTCTCTAGATTCATGTGTCCATGCTCGACAAGCAGAATACCTTTCCCTGGAGTACCTTTCAAGTAACACAAAACTCTTTTTGCAACTGCTAAATGTGTATCTCTAGGAGAATGCATAAACTAACTAATAACACTTACTACATATGAAATATCTGGTCAAGTCATGTAGAGATATAACAACTTCTCGAGCAGTCTCTGAAACACTTCCCTATCATTCAATAATTCACTATTAGTAGCAGAAAACTTATGGTTTAGGTCTATAGGGGTAGAAGCCGGTTTAGCACCAAGTTTACCAGTCTTTGCAAGGAGATCAAGAACATACTTGCGTTGAGAAATGAAGATACCATCCTTAAATCTAGCAACTTCAATTCCCAAAAAGTATCTGAGATCCCCCAAATCTTTGATCTCAAATTCAGTGTTAAGAAATCTTTTGAGCTTAATCACTTCCTGAGTGTCATTACCTGTAACTATAATGTCATCAACATAAACAATTAGAAGAGTCACCAAAGAGTTACTTCTCTTTACAAACAAAGTATGGTCAGATTGAGTCTGTGTATAACCAAAAGAAACAAGGGCAGCTCTGAATCTCTCAAACTAGGCTCTAGGGGACTGTTTGAGACCATAAAGAGACTTCTTCAATTTACACACCTTCCCTTGCATTTCCTTTCCATACACCCCTAGAGGTAAAGGCATATGGAGCTCTTCATGTAGGTCTCCATTTAGGAAGGCATTTTTAACATCAAACTGGTGAAGGGGCCAATCAAAAGTAGCAGCTAGAGACAACAAAACTCGAACTGAAATTATTTTAGCCACAGGAGCAAAAGTCTCAAAGTAATCAATACCATACATCTGAGTGTAACCCTTAGCAACCAATCGAGACTTAAGCCTCTCAATAGTGCCATTAGAATGATATTTGATAGTGAATACCCATTTAAAACCCATTGGTTCCTTCCCTTCAGGCAAGTCCACAATATCCCAGTATGGTTCTTATGCAAAGCATCTAGCTCAGTCATCATAGCATCCCTCCATTCAGGTTTGGACAAGGCTTCTGGTACAGACCTAGGAATCACATGGGTAGAAACAAAGGCAAGAAAAGAATAATAGGTAGGGGATTGAAGGCTGTAGGACAAATGTTTAGAGATATAATGTGTTGTACACTTCCACTTGCCTTTGCAAAGGGCAATAGGATGGTCAAGGTCCAGTAAGGTAGTAGATGGGTTAGAAGAAGGTTGACTTGTTACCTCAGTAGTGATGGGAGGTGCAAGAGGCTTTGATGAAGGAGTGGAAACAACTTGCCCATGCCAAAATCTTTGTCTTTGGTACCACCTTTGGAGAACAGGATGTGAGGAAAATATAGGAGGATGAGCTGGGGGAGGAGGGGGAGCAGGAACATGTGAGGTAGACATAGTGGAAGGAGAGGCAACAGAAGAAGATGACTCAACAAAAGACTCAAAAGGAAGTAGAAGAGGAATAACTGGAAACATAGCAAATGATCCTCAGAATGCTCCCCCTCTGGAGGAATACCAAAGAAAGGAATAGACTCAGCAAAAGTGACATCCCTAGAGACAAAGCGGGTGTCATGAATCGGATCAAAACAGCATATCCCTTCTGTGTGGAGGCATATCCTAGAAAAATGCACTTATGTGCCTTAGGCTCAAATTTGTGTCTCTGATGATTATGAACATGAACATACCAGGTGCACCAAAAAACTCAGAGTGGAAGAGAAAAGAGATCCTCATTTGGAAAGAGAAGGCTAAACGGGGTCTTGAAACCCAGAACCCATGAAGGCATAAGTTTAATAAAAAAGTGACAGTAAGGATAGCATCCCCCAAAATTTAATAGGAACATGAGATGCAAAAAGGAGGCATCTAGCTCTGATACCAATGCTCTGATACCAAGATGTGAGTCTGTCCTTCAAATCTGTTATAAAACTGATAAAAGAAATAAGAAAAAAATGAGAGAGAAAGAAAGGTTACAGCAGAATAGAAGAAGAAGATTGAGAAGAAGAAGAGAGTTCGATGGTTCTCTCTCTCCCTTCACTAATCTTTTATTAAACTTAATCAATCATGCTAATTACAAGTCTGCCCTTTAATTGGGCGGCCAGAAAAGCACTAACTTAAAAGAACTTAAAAAGAGGTTTACAGGTCCATTTAGAAAAGGCCCATTAACACATAAAACAGATACAGCATTACTTAAACATAAAAGAAATATTAGGGCCCATTCGGTCCAGTGTAATGTGTAACAAGTCTCTCTCTTTTTCTCTTTTTTACTTCTTAGGCTTTTGTTTGGAAGCGGTCTTGCTGCCCATTTGTTTTGAGCAGCTGGTGTTTGCTTCTGACTAATGAATTGATTTCTGTTATTTATTGAAAAAAAAGTACAATTGATGGATAGGGGTTTTGTTTATGCATTTAATTCCACTCTCTCCCAAGTTCATATTGCCACAAGGATGTGTGTAAAACTGTCTTTTCCCTTTCTTCTGTTGTCAGTTTTTTTAAACTTGTTTATTTTTGGTTGGTTATTTAATTATGTACAGTTATATTCTGCTATTTGTTAACATTCTTTTTTTTTTGTTTTTTTCCGGGCAGATGGGTCCCTGATTGTAACTTCCCAATTTTAACACTTCCTGAGTTGAGCCTATTAGGGGCAAGTTGAGTGCATAAACCATTAGTTCGCAATGCTGTGTTGGTCCAACACAAAAGGATGTTTTCAATCGTCAATTATGCTCTTTCTGTTGCTCTGAATAGATGTTTAATCTGCAACTGGAAGATTGCTTGTTAATGCCGAGTTTTGTTACATTTGAGTAATATTGAATATTGTTTCTTCATACTGTTCCTTGTTGAAAGTGTAATGGGTATGCCATGACCCATGAGAAATATTTGCTTCACTGGGAGATGAGTGGACATGAGTAGGTTGTCATTCAGGCCTCGTCCTCTAGATATTCATAAAAAGATTCAGATTGTTAAATCTGTTAAAGACTTTGAAGATGAGGAGGCGACAACTTCTACACGTAATTCACAGTTACTTCGTTTTGCTGCAGAGGCTGATAATGAGGTAATCCTTATGTCCTGATATTCCATTTTAAGCTTATTCTCTGATGCACTGTTTCAATTGCTTATTCTGCAACATATGTGTGGTAGCCAACTTTGTACTTCTTCAAAAGTGCCATTTTGTATTTTGTTCCCTTACTCACTAGAAAATATAGACATATTGCGCTTTCTTTCAGCTTTGTATAGAAACCATTTTTCTTTGTCCAATTAGCTAATCTAAATTGTACTGTAATAGATATAGATCGCTGTTTGGGATTGAAGGAGTATTCATTTGTTGTATGGTTCAACTGAGCCTGTTGCCTTTTCTATTGTTTTCTTCATAGTTGTCAAGGGATCACTTAGGTGATAAGCATTTCTTGAGGGTTGCTTTATGTGGATGCTTCAAAATATAGCAATGGATTGTACTAACTTAGTTTAGAGGGCACCCACCTAGCCTTGCCATGACAAGATGGACACCTTATGCCATTTGTTTTGAGTAATACTTGAACTTTCTACCAAAAAAAAGTAACACTTGAACTGTATTAATTTAATAAAAGAATAATTTATAAACAGTGTGCCAAGCATTCCATGTAATGGCTGGTAGATAGCATGTAAGACAAAAGATTATGATCTTATAATTGAGCTCAGAACATTTGATCCCAGAGATGAGAGGTTTCTTGAACTGGTGCAAGATAACCGGGTTGTTTCAGTGGGTCAAACTGTATCATGTGATGTGACCACTTAATGTATCACATGCATGGGCTTGAAGGGGGGGGGGGGGTAAGTCCTTGGACCCAGTTTGAAGATTGAAGATGGATGTTTGGTAGACCTTAATAGGGGTCTGTCTTCACCTTCAGTGATCTCAGAAAGGGATGATATAGGAAACCAGAAAAAAAACAGGCCTGTAAGGAACGTTATAGAGATAACTGGTGCTGAAAGGGAGGGGGGGTAAGTCCTCGGGCCCAATTTGAAGATGGACGTTTGGTAGACCTTGTTTTGTTGGGAACAAAATGGAAGGGAGAGAAAAGTTCACAGCTGCAATGAAATGGAAAAGGGAGTTACAGGTTGAAGCTAAGAGGATGATTTTCAAAGAGTGCAGAAACCAGGGCCAATGTACTTTGAAAATTAGGGAGAAGAGGAAAACTACCATACTACTGGTTGGAGAAGCTGCACAGTGGTTGAAGGGTTTTGTTGATGGGGCAATCTTCTCTGTTAGAATGCATGGTTGGAAAAGCTCGTTGAGTGTTACAAGCAGGAAATATGAAGTGGTTCTGAGGTGTAAAGGGATGGTTTGTAACAGTTACAGCGTTCTTTAAAGGAGGTAAAAAGCAAATGGTTTGTCTGCCAGAAGGGAAGGGATGCTGTGGCTGGAAGCTAGTCAATGAGAAGATACAGCAGTACCTGATTCATTCTGAAGAAAGAAATATGGAGGATCAATTGATTGAAGAGGATGCTGATGTTGCTCAGTCTAAGGGGGTGGAGGAGAACCCGGGCTGTGATATGGATGACTCTTCTTCAAGCGATGGTCAACGAAAGGTCCATGGTTGGTGATTATTGCAAGTTCTCACAGGGACCAAAAATGGCGATAGAGGTTGAAAGAGAAGATTGTGAGAAGAGGTATGTAATTACTGCAAGTGGGAAAATCAATGCCTAGAAATCAGTTCTGGATGTGGTGATGAAACGGCTTTAGATCAAGAATGCAGTGGTTATTCTACCTTTCGGTGATAACAGAGCGGTCTTCGACATTGGTGATGAAGTGGTGGAAGTTTCAGCTGTGCAAACTGAGGTAGGATTGGTTTTGTTTGAATGCTGGAAAATGAGTTGCAATGAAAAGGAAATTGCTGCTTCGAGTATATTAGTGAAGATGGTGGGATTGCGTTTCTATCTTTGGAAGGAAGGATTTATTGAAAAGGTAGTAACAGCTCTTGAAGGCACTCTGGAAGATTATCTTTGATGATTTGTATTTCGAGATGGTTGGAGGAAGCTGGAATGTTATACCATGCTACTGTGATCTGCTGGTTGAAGGTTGGTGGAGGAAAGTTTGGCTTGCTACGGAAGATGAAGTGCCTATCTGGAAGGGCAACTCAAAGGTTGATGGTGATGATGATTTGGCAAGATGATTCCCATGTGGCGAAAGGAGAGAGGGAGTAGGGGGGATTGGAAAAGACAAAATTATCAGGGAAGTGGAACAGTCAAATGATGTAGTCTGTGAAATGGTTATCACAAAAAAGGGAAGTTTTTCTAATAAATTTTAAAACCTCGAAAAAGAGTGGGGCCATCCTCTTATGTTGATGTGGTGAAAGGTGGAGCCCAGTCTGATCCTAGGTGGGGTCCAGAAAGACTAATGAAGGAAAAGATTCTGGCCCTGTCTGAACTGATTATGGGCCAGACCGGGAAAGGGTGTGGTTCTAAACCAAGTTGGGTCAATTTAATTGGCTCATATGACTCTCTAAATAGTCATGGGGAGTTGTGGCCCTTGTAGGTCAAAGAACTCGAGGGAGGACGATAACTTTGATCTATCATCTTGCCCCTTAGCTGCTACAGTGAAGATTGATGCCAGGCCTGGGTCAAAACAGTCAATGCAGTGGAGTCCAATAGAAACAAATGTGGAAAAAGGCATTGGTAGATCAACAGAAGATCGGCCTAATCCAAGATATAGTAGGGAGAGATCAGAGGAGAAAGATACAGTGGATGGAGGATGGTTGGATTATGACATGTCCAACGGAGATGATTTGGAGTTAGACACAGATTCATTGATTGGCAGCATGTGTGAAAATGAAGGTACAGTAGAGGTGGAAGAGGATCTTAATATATCTGAACTTTTCTTTGAAGAGACAAAGGTGTTGGAAACAACCCCTGATTGGAGTCAGGTGATAGTTGGAAGAGATTTGAAGGAGGTGGAGGATGTTTTGGTTGTTGAGGAGGTAAACCAAAAGCCAGACACAAGAATCATTGCCCTATAGAGACCTCTCGCAGGGTGTTCATAAAGAGGTAATGGTGAGCCATCAGAAGCCTAACAAGGAAAATCCAGAAGGGAGTAAGATGCTGAATAACGGAAGTCCAGCACAGTGTGCCTCTTCTATAGGGAACTTGCCACAACAGACCCAACTCGGAAAAGCTAGTGAACCCCCTTCTTCTGATTTGGGGAAGGCTACAAAGTCTTCCCCTACACCCCCTCCAGGTATGGTGCTATAGTTGTGAATTTGGATTTGGGTACTGACCTGTGTGCTATGTCTGCAGCGTTTACTTTAGCTCCCCAGTTTGTCCAAAAGCCGCGAGCTCCTTGTTCTGAGAAGGATTGGAGAGGAAGAGTTTCTGGGTCTATTTCTAAGGAGTAAGGGAGGAGAAATTTGGGAACTAATTGAGAAGTTTTTGGAGGACATGAAGAAGAGTGAGTTGGAGGTTGAGAGTCTTACTGATCATGTGGTTACTAAGGTGAATTCAGGTTCTAGATCTATAGAAGTGAGGGAAGAGATAGGGAATGGATGTGGAAAGAGTACAGAAAATTCAGTTGGTGATTTTGTGGTAAAGCTTGGGTGTAAATTAAAAGATCCAAATGATTTGAAATCTTTCCTACAAAAGAAGGAAGATGGGAAGATGAGGAAGAAAAAATTGAGTGTGTCAAACAAGCAGTTCGTACCAGAGAGGAGAAGACAGAATTCTGGGGTGAAGAACTGAATAGTTTGGCCCAATCCCAAGAGCCTCAATATATAGATTAAAGAAATAAGAATATTTACAGAAAAGGCCTTGCATTGCTAAAGAGAAAATAACAATAAAATAAGAGATGCAATACAACAGGGACTATATTAATGTGGTACATCAGTGAGACTCTTCACACTCCCCCTCAAACTGATGCAAAGGCATGGGCATCAGTCTACTTATAAGGAATAAGTGTCTGGATCTCGTCATGGCCTTTGTGAAGATGTCTGCAACTTGCATATTGGAGGCAACATGAGTGAGAGAGATAGAGTTCACAAGAAACAGGTCGTGGATAAAGTGGCAGTCCACCTCAATATGCTTCGTCCTTTCATGAAAGACAGGATTAGAGGCAATCTTAATAGCACTAGTGTTGTCTGCATACGGAGGGATGGGTGTAGGAGAGGAATGACCCAATTCCATACATCAGCAATCTTAGAAAGGAGTCTAAACTCTACTTTTATCACTTTGGTCCCAAAGAAGAAAGGGGCTGAGGATATTAAAGACTACATGCCTATTAGTCTAATAATAGAAAGCATGTATAAAATCCTTGCAAAGGTGCTAGCAAAAAGGATGAAGCTAGTCATGGGGCACATCATTTTGGAGTGCCAGGGAGCTTTTGTAGAAGGAATGCTGATGGTAGATGGGGTTTTAGTGGCAAATGAGCTGATCGACTCAAGGATGAGAAGTGGAAGGGGTAGGCTGATATGCAAAGTAGATCTGGAGAAAGCATATGATCATGTGAACCGGAGCTTCCTGGACTATGTGCTTAGAAGAATGAACTTTGGACCTAAATGGAGAAATTGGATGAAGGTTTGTGTGGGTACTCCTTCCTTCTCAGTTCTAGTAAATGGGAAAGCTTCTGGAAACTTCAAAAGTTCGAAAGGAATCAGGCAAGGGGACCCACTATCCCCTTCCCTGTTTATTTGCGTGATGGAAGTTTTAAGCAGATCGGTGAAGAGGGCTGGTTTGGGGGGTTTCCTAGAAGGCTTTACAGTAGGTAACGAGAAGGTGGAGGTTAATTTACTGCAGTATGCTGATGACACCTTGATCTTCTGTGATGCATCACAAGAGCAACTCTATTTTGTGAGGTCAGTGCTAAAATGGTTTGAAGTAGTCTCGGGCATGAAAGTTAACTTAAACAAAAGTGAGTTAGTGGCTGTTGGAGAGCTGGCCAGTTGGGCAGACTTGTGGGGATGCAAGGTGGGAAAGTTGTCTCTAAAATATCTGGGCATGCCCCTAGGTGCTAAATGTAATTCGAAAAGAATCTGGGAGCCAATTATTGGAAGACTTGAAAAGAAGCTAGCATCCTGGAAAACCAAGTATCTT